AACCAGACACCTTTTGGAAACTCACGATCAAGATTTGTGTAGGTGCTTTGCCCCCAGATGCGTTCAAAACACGATACGGACTGCTATGTGTCACAGTCCCATTCTCATTCGCCCCTGCGGCACCACTCCTTGGCTGGCTCACTGCAAATTTGAGGACTACCGGTGCCTCCACCCTTGCCGTGCCCTTGAACATTTCGATAGGGTCATTGGGTCAAATCATGGGTGAGCGCGAAGTTGAGCTGTCCCTAGAATCTTGGATGCTGATACCTCACTTAGGAGTCTTTATATTCAAAAGCTCTGAGGCCCCAGGATATCCTACAGGTTATTTCACGAACGGTGCCTTCCAGATCCTGGGCGGTTTAGGCGTGCTCCTACTGAGAGTCATTTACGTGCGCCGCAATTGCAAGATAGCCGGTAAAGAGGGGGTATTGAAATGGAGGCTGTGATTTCCGGTTGGACACTGCAAGTATCTAGAGACAATACAAATGTATCCCAGATGAATGCAATTGGGCATCAGATTATCTGAATATCAGGAAGTAGTCGAAGTTTTTAAACCTTTCGTACTAGTATAAGTGCTGCAGCTGTTCTGTTGTTCTACCGTCAGATTCAGTTAGCGAAATTGCGAAGCATGGTCGTTTGGAATCCATCACAGAAGGCTCGATACACCTTCAGCAGGTCTTTATATGTTAGCTCGGTTGAATTCCTCCTTAAAGGATCCGAGGAAGCGATTTTCGTCCGTACGGCGATATGCTGCGTTGTGGCTTTAAAGGAAGCGTAAGGATGGGTATATGTAACACACACGACCGTAAGTCCAGGATGCAAACAGTTGCGACGCAATCATATCGAATGATATAGGTCCACTTTGAATAGAACCGGGTAGAAGAACTTCAAAGCGGATTTTCAAAGAAATGCGACGCGGAGCATCGACGGAACTAGACATCTGTGCCGTTCTCCTTGAGCCTCGAACTTCTACAACCTCGCGACCAGGGTCATTCACTTATCACAACGAACTCATCGGCGCGTAGGCAAAGTGCACTTGTGATTGTATTCCGATTGACGGCATCGCATGAACTTTGCATAAAGTCAGCAACAAGTTGCCATCTCCAAACTGTTTTCTCCCGCATCGTCCTTCACGAGGGCAGATCCCCAAATTTCATTAATAATCAAGAATGACGACTCACGTAGCGCGAGGTAAAGACCGATGCACATTCAATGACTGGGGATTCAAGCACTACGTGGCGCGGCTCGAACGTATAGGTCGGGGCCCTCGTAATGCGGCAAGTATGCTTCTTTCCATCGCAGGCTCTTCGCACTGTCATGTTTCATACGTAAGCCGTAACTTCAGTGATGTATAACTTCAACTTACCTCACTCCATCAAGCTCCAACTCGAACCGCCGGAACAGGTTCGCGAAACCCAGAAACAGCTCGCAGTATCCTAAGCTGAAGTAAAGACCATCATCAAGAACTGAAGCCTTTGCAAGAAAGGAAACAAGCGTACTTAACACCCAAACAGCTTCTAGGCCCTTTGCAGAAGGTGACGAGCCAATGGTCTAAGGACTCTGACGAGGGCTCAAGCCATCGCTCGGGCCTGAAAGAATGTGGATCTGGGAAAATGCTACCGTCTAGGAGGACGAAACTGTTGCTGATACCGACAATGGTCTACAGTCGAACAACAGAAGTAAGCGGCCAGCAGTGTACCCTGAATCTTGCCAGAATGGGCCTACTTCTCCGGGAATGTGTCGACCTCCCAGCTCTGCTCCCTCTGCGGGTACCACCCGCGTCATAGGAGTCACAACACCCTGGACAAGCCTCAGAGACTCTTTCACGATTGCCCTCTGCCAACGTTGGAATCAGTGAGTAGATCTGACTCAAAACTGGATCAAACCTCACGAGATATGGGAGACTGTCCAACGCCTCATACCTCGGCGTGTCGTCCAATCTAGGCCAGGCTTCTAGCAATTCGCGCACCACATTTTTGTGTATATCTGGGTTGCTGAGTATGTGTATCGTGCCAAGTGTGAGGGTGTTGCTCGCGGTGTCCGTGCCTGCAAACACCAGCAACAAGGCCTCGTCCCGGAGTGATGTGAACGAGGGGATTTCATGTCCACTCGCTGGGTTGAGGAGCGCATGATAAATGATGGGATGCGAAGCGCTCTCAAGGGTCTCTGGGTGCTTGGTCACTTCCAGGACTTGTTCCCACAGGGTCTATTTACATCATAATCCATATTCGCACAATGAATGGTGTTGGTTTTTGATTTACGCTTTCACATACCTTGCGCATATTTACCAGACCGATGAGCCCAGGTTTCAGGAGCGAAACCAGGAGAGGGGGGCAATGCGCTACAAATGTCTTAATGGCCGGGAAGTATTTGATGAATGTGACCATAGGAAGCGACAATGTCATGGCCCGTTCTATTGGTGCCTGGAAGTCGGGTGCAGCGAGTGCATTCGCTGGCTTGGCAAAGCAGAACGACGTGATGGTGTCGACCGCTAGGCACCTGAATGCAAGCAATATGTTTGTCGACTTGCCTTCACCGTGCTGCTTTGCGATTCCCTCACACATCTGGTCCATCTGAGCCAAGTATGAGATGCCCGGAGGAGGAAAGGATGTAAGGTAGGAAGACATACGCAGTCTTGAATGAGATGCTGCATGCTGATGATAGACTTGCGAGAAAAAAGCGGTTGGAGAATGTCCTTGCGCTTCTTGGCTCTGTGGTATTCGGGAATAGTGAAAGACGACTCAAATTCAGCAAATGCATTATACAGCACTGGGTCCTTGGACCATCTGTTACGCGGGCTGTGTATCTCATGGTACACCGACGGTTTCGCGAAGTGCAACTGTATTTATATTTGTGAACTGGTTAGCTAAGAGCTTAGAGTGTACGATGTGCTAATACCTCGTTGGGGGCGATTCTTACTACATCGCCTGTAAATATGACTCAATAAACAGGATGTACATTGAATGATGAGTTGGTCAGGGCGCACCGTATACAGCATGCAGCTCAAAGAGCATCTCAACTAGGTCTTTCTTCTGGATAAGCTCGACGTAAATCTTCCACCATATCGTAAATGCTGCCAACTTTGGTCCTGGGAACTTCGATAACGGGTGCAGGTATAGGTTATAGGCTCCGTTGACGACAACCCACAAGAACCACGAGAGAATACCTGTAACGACAGCCAGAGATACGCTGGGATATGCTAAGTCGTCCAGATACGCTGCCCAGAAGTGTCTAGTTGTCGAGGTCATGGTCGCTTCCTACAAGCCGAGTTACATGATGAAAATGTCGACATGCGTGGTTGAGGCCAAGTCGGACGCTGGATTATAGTTAGCACAAACGTTTTCCATGGTCAGTTCAGCTACACTTCACTTAAATTGCCATTTACAACTTTCCACACCTTGCTGCGAGTGCCGCGAAAACGTGTGGTATATACAGGGGTCAGGACCCAAGTATATGCGACATGAATAGGAAACCTGCGGTGGGTTAGTCCCGGTATTAAGTGACAGTCGACCTTCTAACCACATACAGAGTTGTAGAAGGACTACAACAGGTAATGAGAATGGTAAGTACAATCTATAGATGCGTCTATTAAAGGGTGTATCGTCCTGTATCACCCTTAAGTCCGTAGCCCAAGAACCTGTCTTCCCAAGGCCTCCACATTTCTGTGCAACACAGCTGTAACCGCGCTCCGAATACGAGCGGTCTTCCTCGACATCTCTTCACTCGTTTCCCCTTCCTGCTCTGCATGGCGAATTTCTTTGCCCAGCCAGCCGCTCTCCGAAGTGGCCCGACTCTGCGCTTCTTCTCGAGGGACACCCAGAGACAATTCTGAGCTAGTGACACCGGACAGCTCATCGCTCTCTATCGTATGCGACAGTGCCATTTTCACGTCTTCGTCGCAAATCGGCTTCCCAAATGTGACGCTAAGCTTGACACCTCGTTTTGGGAAATACTTATAAGGAAAGGGCCGACCTTCCGGCATAAGTTTCTCAAAGCCTAAGACAGCTCGTTAGCACAAGGAACACTCCGCGACAAACGTAACAAACCTGTCAACCACATGGGAACAATGATTGGGGGTCTTTGTGCCTCCATTAAAATTCTACCTCTAAGTATTTGGTAGCGGTTAGCCATTGCCCAAGTGTGTAGTGGGGATAGAACGGACGTACACACCCCACTTGAACCTCAATAATAGCTGCTTGTCTTTTGTGGCTGGCTCATTACCGGGTTGATTTACTTTTCCCTCGCCGAATAAATGTATCTTTCGTAACGTCAGTCTTGGGATGACGACCGGAGAGAACCGGGAACTCACCCATGCCCCATTGTTGAGCTTGTCAATAGCGGTGTCCAGCGCAGGTTGAAAGACTCCTTCCCCCCGAAATGTCTCAATTACCTGACCTTTCCGAAAGAAGGCTGAGAAAACTCTACCTATCGAGCAGGACAATCAGCGGCGGGGGATAACACGATACAGAGTGGTTCCTCACGGGTTGGTAAACATAATGTCTGACGCTCCAAGCGTCCATCGTGTCATACGCGAATGAAAGTAGTACCCGGCGGGTAAAATACCCCATGTTACAGGGTCGTCGAGCCTGTTGCACTTTTAAGCATCATCGGCGCGTACCAAAGGATGTTTTCCTACGTCGAGATATGATTACTAACTGAATACGAGGACTGTTAACACAATATGTATGGATGAAAGCAAGGAGCACGCACCGGTAATAACTCCTCGTCCTGAATTGCGCTCCTCACTGTACAAAGCTTCCTGCAAATTCTCCAGACCATTTACTGTGACAGACGAACAGTAACCTGTGTTCAGAAATGCTTTGCAAGTCAAGCCGATACTCCCCACTGTCCATCGGGACAGTAGGCCAGACATGAAGCTTCGAAGGGGATGAATGTTTGGACTCTTGAAGGAGGTCATCGACGGTATAAATATATCTGAACGGCATAGAACAGTATGAATATGGTAATGTATTATACAGTAACACATATTATGTTTACAAGCTTGGATGGCTCAGTTGGTTAGAGCGCAGGTCTCATAGCAATATGACCGCAACTAGCGGGTAATCCTGAGGTCATGAGTTCGACCCTCATTCCGAGCATATTTTTGCACCCGTAGGATCTTTACAGTTATGCCGTAAATAAAGAATAAGGGTGTAAACTGTTTATAAAGAGTAAAATTTTATTTTTTATTTCTCGTTCTGAGTGGTGACAGGACCCCCCATAATACTACCAGATGCCAGGTCCGGTGTGCGTACCAAAATGGCGGTTTGGGGATGGACCTCAGATCCAAATCGTACCAAATCGGCCAAAAAATTTGCCAGGATAGGTGCCAACCTGCGTACCAAAGTCGCATTTGGCGGAAAGTTAGATCCAATTTCATACCACCATGTTAGCAGTGGCTTGGCCCGTGGTTAACCTTAGAAAGCCGTTGATATTGTTCTACTTTAAGTCTATTACCGTGACCTAGTACATGGCTTACTATGGCCATGTTTTCCTTTGCTAGAGTTATGGCCCTTCCTCATGATGCCCAGTAAGAATCAGATCTTGTCGTATATAGTCACAGCTAGGCGCCGCTCCACCGCTATACTAACCTATCCATTCTGAACATATTTCTATATAGCACAATACTATCATCTAGCCAGATATGCAACAGTCCAGCCGTGTATACTCCTGTTTATAGCTGTACTATATTTCAATATATTTCACATTTTCCGCATTTTCCGCATTTTCTCATCAATAGATTAAACAATATACCCTCATATAGTCTGGGATTATAGTCTAGTATTCTAGTATATTGCCGAATCTGCCCCGCCTTTACTGCACCCCATACCGCCACCCAATAAACAGCCTTCCCCGGACAGCGTGAATGAATCCGAGTCAAGCCTAGTATGGATGCAATAAAGTCAGCCTCCCGTTGGCTCATATACTCTATAGACATGCCAAGGCTTACCGTGGCTGCCACCAATTGTTTTGCCTCGCCGTCGTACACCTGGCAACCCATACCAATCAGAATCTTGTAAGTCTCGCTATCGACAAGTCCACATACCTTTTTCTCCTCCTTTGATGATTTCTCCCAGTGCTTTACGAACGCTGCCGCTGTACCGTTCGGATTGCCCTGCTTCCACGCACGTCCGCATACATTCCCGGATATCGAATCAGTTACGGTAAACCCCCATCCACTCAAGTAACTCACCTAGCGGTATGCTTTTGCCCAGGCTGGAAGATGTGACCCCGTCGCTTCGTAGGTACTTCATCCATAACCGTTGGCGTGTTTGATTTGTCTGTGATAGGTAGATCTGCGGTGGTCGGTCTAATTAGCGTAGCATCCAATCCGCTAACGGCCTGTATTGGGCTTCCAATGCACGGTCTAAACCAAGGAATATTTCCAATGATAGGTGGAGGGCGGGGTCGTCTAGCTGGTATTCTTCAGTGGGCGGATGGCGGAGCCGTTCTAGCACATCAGGATGGAGATTCTCGTCATCGAGAGAGGCATTCCGCAGAGCGTCAATGAACGCTTGCGATATGCGGAGTTCATCGATGTGCAATGTGGGCGGTTCTGTATAATCGATGTCGTCCTGCGTGCGGTTGCCAGCCATGGAACGAAGTTCATCGTCGTCATCGAGACTAGCAAGCCCACTGAGATCTGCAGCTGCGCGACTGGCCTCATTGGACATGTCTGGTTGGTCTCGTAGTCCCAAACATCCCCGTCGAAGCCTACATCCAGCCGTTCTTCGTCTGGTGAAGTGACCGCCGGATGCGTCGGCACAGGGCGGGCAAACATAGAGGAGACAGTCGGCACAGGGTGGGGAAACACAGAGGAGACAGTCGGCACAGGGTGGGGAAACACAGAGGAGACAGCCTCCAATTCATCGGCTGCCGATCCGTAGATATCTTCGATGTCTGGCCCACGAAGGGGAGGTGGCATGACTATCTCACCGGGTACGAGAGACGGCAGTTCCTATATAATTTAGTCAGCGTGGTAAAAGATATTAAGGTACACAGATATAATTTACCTCAGAGACTTGTGTCATGCCTTCATCCTCAGTTTCGTGTGCAGTATGGTCCAGATGCGCACGTTTAGATGGTCCTGCCACAGGTTCGGTACTCTCCTCCGCTGCAGCGGTGTTACTTGCTACTTGCTGTGATCTAGCAAGTTTGGCATGTTGCCAAAAAGTGGTGCGTGACACTTGTCTAGGTACGCGGCACAATACCCCACAGTGGCACCATTTGCGCGACCGATCCTTCGACTGTGTTGACATGCCAGGAGACGGTTGGTCCTTGCCTCAATCCGCGACAGATACAAAGGCCTCAGTCCCAGAGACAGATTTGAAGGTAAAGCGGGAGCAGGATGAGATTATATGAGACTAGAGATAACTAGATAACGACGGAAGAATTGAGACGAGCTTCAGAGAAAGCGAAAGGAAAGAACCTGAATTGTAAGAGAACAAACACGGGACAAATAAAAGGCGCAAAGGCGCCGGGTCATAGGCGCGCAGATTTTATACCGGATTATACCGAGCGAGATGGATTCAGATTAGAGTATCTCTCACTATACCCGGTGAGAA